GTCAGAAGGCATAACCTGAAGTACCTGCAGAGGAGAGGAAACAGGGAGAGAGAACTAAGCCAGGAAGAAACTAAGAGCAAACCCAATGCCCGCTGATCCCCTGGCCTCCTCCAACCTCCTTCTGACAGCTCTGCTGGGAACCCTAGCTTCCTTCACTAGCTGCACAGATCTTGGGTAAGATACGTAACATCTCTGAGACTCAGTTTGCTCACCTGCAAAATGGAGATCTTCATGCCTTTCTTCCCATGTGATTACAGAGGTTACAAGAGAAAAAGATGTGAAGGAACCTGAAAGATGGGAAGCTCCTGGAGAACACTGCTTTCCTCAGGGCTTTCTGTCGGCCTTGGTCAGTAAAACCTCTATGAATCAAACTTTGTGTTCACTTCCCCAACAGAAACCTAGTAAGTGCCTACCGTGGGCCTCTTGGTCACAGCTCCAAGAGAGGAACTGGCCTCAAGTCTCCTCAGGGGCATCACTGGCAGTAAATAGGGAGGAGACGGACAACCATAATGCTGGCGTCAAGCGGGCACTCCAAGCCCAGATGGCCAAAGGACAGGGCATCTGTGGGGCTTCTGGGCATCTTGGAGATAAACAGTCACTCCTGAAATGGGCACTGGGGAGCCATGGCCACTCAATAGGGTGCTACTCTGAGGCCTGGGACATGTGATCCGACTTCTGGCAAGAAGGAAGGTGAGGACTGGGCTCAGGTGGGGCCTGCAGGCAGATCCATATCAAAACCCATATCTGGGCCTCCCTGAAGTGTTCCTGTATCTGAACACAACTTCCATCTTTGAACCTGAATCCCTGACAAGTCTTCCAACGTGCTCTGCAGATGTGGGCATGCCTGCAGGGCAGAGCCTGTGAACTGTGTGCCTCTCTGAAGGCCTAGGGGAACAGTGCAGAGAACAGCCGGCACAATCAGATGGACCTGGAATAAAATCTCAATTCGGCCATTTACAAACAGTGCAACTTTGGGCAGGTTATTGAACTTCTCAGAGCCTTTAGTCCTTCATCGATAAAGCTAGGTTATCACTTACCTTGAAGAATGTGGGTGTGTGTGGAACATGGGAGGTATTCAGTGAATGATTGTGACAATGAAGGTCATCATCATAAACCCCTGGAAACCTGCCCCAGTGATCGCTGTCCTCGCCTCACTCCCCCCCATGCCCCTTGCTGCCCATTAGATCACAGTCATGCTGCTCAGCTGCCTCCTCCATCTCCAGCTTCAGCAGGAGTGTCTTCCTAGCCACCTACACACACACACACACACACACAACCCACTACCACCAGCACTGCTGCCACCACCATGTCTTTGAGATGTTTTGCTGTAAGAGCTCCTAATATTCTCCTTACTACAAAGTCACGTCCACGCTTTCCTATAAAACCCAACTCTCCAGAAAGCCCTACTTAATTTGATGGATACTGGAACTCCCCGCATGTCCAAATACAAACGCACATATGCCACGGAAGGCACTTTGACTTTGGAGCAGCTGGGCCTGGGTTCAAATCCTAGCTCTGCCACTTTTTGTTAACAGAGGCCAGTCACTCAGCCTCTCTGAGATTCGACCTCCTCATCTGTGTAGTGGAGACGCTCATCATGCCTTCCCGGCAATGAGCTGGTAAGATGACCACCCAGCACTCTGGAAGTATTAGATGAAAGTTCACTCTTCCCCTGTGTGTTTTCATTTGCACATTGATTTTCTTCCTCCCAGAGCTCTCAGGTTCCTGTGTGTGTGTGTATGACATGTGAGTGCATGTGTTCATCCCCGCCTTTAGAACTGAGGCCCCCAGGGCCAGGGGAGGGGAAGTTGGGACTGAGCTAGGGCTTGGCATATAGCTGATTCTCAAAATCTCCTAGACTTGCTGACGGGAGTGAGATGAAAGCGGGTCAGCAGGCAGTGACTGAGAAGGGGCCCTGGTAGTGTCAGTGGAAGGGGCCAGGGAGGGCCGGGGCACCTGGAGGGAGAGTTTTTTGGGGGGTCAGAGTTGGCAGGGGACTGATGCCAGCAGAATAAATTGGTCAAGGAAAGAGACTGGAGGAAGCTCCTGATGGAGAGGGCAGGGCTTCAGCTGTCATGTAATACTGAGGAAGGGACAGCTGAGCAGAGGGGAACAGGATTCTCACCTTTGTGGTCCCCATGCCCAACCTTTGGGAAGGGTGATGTCTAGAGAACCCCCAGGCCTGGGGCTTCTTCCCCTGGTGGTCTTGGTCATGGGCCTGAGCCCATTTCTCTCCAGTCCCACCCACCCCCTCTACACCCCTCACCTCTTTCAGGTTGAACCTCATGTGATGACAGAGGATGTGGAAGGGAGGCTGGGTGTCTCCACCCTGAGGGCGGTAGCCTTTGACCCGCGAGGCCTGGAAAAGCCTGGGGTAGCCAAACTGGTAGCGGGCGGGGAGGGCAAAGCGTAGCCCATGTCTGTCCCCATAGCGATGAAGCAGGCTCAGCACAGAGCTGCTCCCGGATTTATGCGTCTTCAGGAACACCAGTCGCTGCCGTGGTGGGCAGGGCGGAGCAGCTGATCCAGAGGATGAGGTCCAGGACTGTCGGAGGTGCAGCCCAGGGAGCCTGGGGGAGAGACGGGAGGGGAAGTGTCCTGTCCTGTACCAGCAGGTGGATGGGCATCTTGTGGAGCAAGGACAGAGGGCACGGAGCATCCTCTGAGTCCCCAAGAGTCACAGCCCCAAGTGGGATGGGGAGGAGAAAGTGGGGGGCATCTGTGGGGCATTGGGACAAGATGCGAACTCACCTCCTCTGGAAGGGACCCCCCCAGAGCTGGAGGGCAAATCCGATGGTCATGAAGACTCCCAGAGCCACCCCCAGGCTCCGAGGCCCCCAGAGGCGCATGGTCCTGGTAGGAGACAGAGGGCCCATGTGGCACAGGGAAGGGTGACACTAGAGAGGGACAGGGCAAGGGCCAGGCACGGAGGCAGAGACAGCTTGAGACAGCCGTGCAGCTGCGGAAGGCACCAGTTCGAGATCGAGGGGTCATTCCCCAGGCCTGCTTGCAGCCCCAGTTGAGTCTGCCCCCTGAGTTAGCAGATTTTTGCCTCTGTCAGCGTCTAGAAGGGAAATGAGGGAGAAGGAGGGGAGTCTAAGGAGAGGGCAGAGCCTTCTTGCTCACTGCTGCGGCAGCTGAGACCTCACTCCGGGCAGGGGGGTGGCAGCGGGGGGTGGGGAGCCTTTTCTACACCCAGATCCTCTAAGTGCCTCATTCTGAGGCTGAGAGGGACAGCTGTGAGGAGGGAATCAAGGCCAGACAGGACACTGGCTCAGGAACCTAGGGAGGCGAGATTGAAGGAGCAACTTTGTAAAGAGTAAGTCGACCATCTCTTCTAAACTCAGGCATCCTTTCCCTCTCAGCACCAGGCAGACCCCAGTATGTGAGGGGCTGGGGGGATGTGGGGTTACTATGAAGCCCAGATTCCCAGACATACCCCTCCCACACCCCCGTTCCCACTTTTTAACCCCATCAGTGCACCCAGAGGGGATTGAGAGGGTGGGGCTGGAGAGAGAGAAACTCTGCGACACAGTGATAAAAATTCGAAAGCTGAATTTCGGAATTCCTTTCCGGGCCCCAGCTTCCCAATCAGCTAGAAGTCTGGACCTGCTCCTTCAAATTACAACCCATAGCCGTGGGGCACAGCCCCTCCAACAAGCCCTGACAGCCCCCTTCCAGGACGAGCCCTGGAGTGACCCCGGCAGAGAACCCACAGTTGCTACCTAGAAACCCGCCCCCTCTGGCATTGTCTCCAATTCCCTCCCCCCCCAACCCGGCCCCCAGGATCCAGCCCTGCACTGGACTCTGTCCCATGTTCAGATTTCTTCTATTCCTTTCATCCATCTCTGTCTCCTCCCATTACTCCGGATTCCAGCCCGCTGTCCCTTCCAGCTTTGGTGACTGCTCAGTCCGTCACCAGTCTGGGGTTGGCTCCCTCCAAGGCTCTCTCTGTGATACCCCCCAAGTCTCCTCCCAGAAATTCTAGAGTCCCTCCACTGGCCAAAGTCTCGGCTTCACTTGCCCACTCACCAAGCCACCTGAGAAGCAGCAGGGAAATCGGGATCTGGCCGGCCCGCCTGCCCCAGCCACCGCCCGGTTCTCCGCTCGGCTCAACTTTCCCCATAAACTTTCTCAGCGCCCAGGCTCCTCCCCCTCCCTCCCTTTGTCCCGCCAGTCTCCGTAGCTGATTCGGCTTTGATCGCGTCTCTGGGTCTCACCCTCCCTGCATCTTTCCCTCTCTGCCAGAGCACCCAGCCGGCCCTTAGAAGACACAATTTCTACCCTCCTTTTTCACTTAGGAATCAATTCTACCTTTTCTCTCAGCTTTCTGCGGAACAAAAGACTTATTCAGGCAACAGAAAGAAAGGAGGAAGAAAGGAGAAACAGACGAAGAGTTGAAAGCAGACATTGTCAAGGACGCAAGAAGGTAGCCAGAGGCTGACAGTGAGAACGGGGCTGCCACCCTGAAGGCAGAGGGCAATGGGGTGGTAATAGTAATGATGCCTCAAGTCTAAGAGAACTTTGCCAGTCCCCACACTTCTCCCCATTTTGCAGATGAAATTGCTCAGACCCAGAGGGTGGCCAACTTGCCCAAACTCAGTTCCAGGGGACAGGTTCCAACAGAGGTTGAGAAGCAGGCAGAAAATGAGCTGCTGGTCAGTGACTCCAGGGCTTGTGCCAGGAGCCAGGGCTCAGAGAGGGATGCTGAAGATACAGAAAGTCACACATAAGGTCCAACAAATTAGCTGTTTATTTATAGACTCAACACTGAGTAGAACACTGAAGCATGAAATGGGGAAGCTTGTGAAAGATGTGGTGGATGGCAGAGCCATGAGATGAACTTTATTTTTTCTTTTTTGGTATTTTAGTTTAAGAAAGTGATACTGAAAAAGCTCAGTAGAACCTAGGCCCATAGATCCTGACATCCTATTCATATACACCCCAGTCCCCTGCTCTGCACCCCATCAGCACCCAGCTTTTTTTGTCTATTTCTGAGACTGGGTGCCCCACCCATCCCCACTTCCAACTTCCTTTCAACCCCCCCCCCACCAACTGCAACTCTAAAACTCCTCCCTTTCTCCTTGTTGGGGCTGACCACCAGCCCAATCATAGAGGCTGGGTTGGAGAGACCACACCTCCTTCCTAAATAAATACCCTCAGCCCCTCCCCCCTAGATACTAAATGAAAAAATAAATATTGTGAACCCCCCCCCAATGCACCAATGGGAATCTCCTGGATTTGGGGCCCCAGCCATTCACCCAAAAAGTCCCTTCTCTATTCTTTCTGCAGCCCCCTTCGATTCCTCCCCTGACCCAGCTGGGTCAGAGGAAGAGGAGAAGGGCCATGAACCCTTCTGATGCTAGGGCACCCCTCCCCCGTTATCGAGGTCCAAGCAGGGCCAGGGCGGAGAGGAAGAGAATGAGGATGGGTTGGGTGTGAAAACCAACAGACGTCCCCCCAGTCCTGCTTCTGTCCTGGTTGTGGCGGATAATCACACCTCCTCCTTTGCCCCCAGTACCATCCCTTCGAGGAGGGCGAGGAGGCCGGGCTGGGGGGGCCACAGCCGCTGCCCCAGCCATCCAGTCATCTGCATAGTGCTGTCCCTCTCCAGAGCCGCTAGCGTCATCTGCAGGGAAAGGGAGGATCAGAAACAGACAGGGATGGGGAAGAGAGGTAGCAGGAGACAGGGAGAGAGAAAGAGACAGGTAGGAAGAGAACTCGAGATAAAACAAGTGAAAGAGAGACTCGAGAAAGAGTGAGGGGGGAGTTTGGGAGGAGGGAGAAAGTAAGTGACAGCAAGGCAAGGAGAGGGCGACGCGATCAGACAGACATGGGAATGAGAGAAGGCAATGAGAGACAGGAAGAGACAATGAGACAGAGACAGAAAAGAGAGAGACAGACAGATTGGGGAGATAGGATAAACAGGAAAAGATAGAAAACAGACATACACAGAAGCAGCGAGCAGACGGGAAGAAGGGTGGGGGAGGACAAAGAGAGACAGAGACAGACAGTCGGAGAGAAGAAAACGATGAATGTCCGTGCGTGCTTCTCTGGAAAACTCTACCCAAGGCATCCGCCCCGACCCTACCCAGTCTCTCCCAGCCCACTGCCCACTCTCAGGAGCTTCCCACGCTCTGTGAGAATGTTTTAGTGTCTCCCCCATGGGGCTGTGAACTCAAGAATAGAGACCCTTTCTTTAGTCTTCTCCCACCTTTGAGGTAAGCGCTCAACATAAGCGTGTAAAGTGAACGAATGAATGAATGAATGGTAACTGAGAGGTGCGAGGGGAAGGACTCAGAAGGCAGGGGGCGGGGCTGCGGGTTGGCCCGGGTCCAATCGCGGAAAGCCGCGAGGAGCGAGGTCTCACCCCAGTCCTCCAGCTCCAGGTCGCGTCCCAGGGCCGCTGCCTTCATCCTGGTGGTGGCCGCCCGGAGCTGCAGCCGCCGCCTCCGCGCCTGGAGGTCGGGCTTCGAGGCTTCCGCATCCAGCTCTGGGTTGTCGAGCTGCTCGGCCTGGGAGGCCCCGACCACGGGCGACAAGTACCTGCGAGC